ATGGTAGACGCAGCAGCAGGATTTTCACCATCTTTGAAATGTCCTTGCCTTAGAACCTAAAGGAGGACTGAAATCCTTAGAGGAAGGAAAGGTGGCCAAACTGCGGCTCGGGAGTCTTTACACATATTGTGCGGCTCCCGGCAGGGCAGCTGGGGAAGCCAAGGGCATAGGGTTCCCAGGACCCCTCGTCGCTCGGGTGGGGGGATTTGGGGTGTGTGTGTTCTGGGTGCGAGAAGGGACGCTCCCAAGCCCAGCCCCCAAGAGTGACCACCTGCCCAGCCAGTGTTCCGTCTAAGCTGAGTCAGTGTGAGCTAGCTCAGTTTTTTAGCCTCTGGCTCACACATTTTTGTCTTAGCTCAGAAAGGATGGCTTCAGAGCAAACTAACATATGCAGTAGCCAAATTGCTCACTCTTAACTTTAATGCCAGTAGCTCACTAAGTAGAATTTTTGCTCACAAGACACCACAGCTTAGAGGGAGCATTGCCAGCTACTCCTCTCCCTCCCATCTATTTTTTTTCTTTCTCCCCCCTCCCTCCCGTTTATTTCCTTTTTTCTCTCTCTTCCCCCTTCCTTTCTCCCTCTCCCATCTATTTGCTTTCTTTCCACTTTCCTTTCTTCTTCTCCCTTCCTTCCCTCCATCTATTTGCTTTCTCTCTCTTTCTTTCCACCTCTTTCATTCTTTCTTTCCACCCCTCTCTCTCTTTTTCTCCCTCTCTCTCTCTTAGACAAATAAATACCATTAGCAAACCAATAAATATCAATGGAAAAATAAATATCATTATCAATATCGGGTTTTATCCCTTTTTTTTGCAGTCTCATTTAATGTTAATAAAAAGCAAATTTGCATACTTTTCAATAAAAAGGTGCGTGGGATATTTGTTCGTGTCTTGCGGCTCTGACACATGTAACGTTATCTCCCATCTATTTGCTTTCTTTCCACTTTCCTTTCTTCTTCTCCCTTCCTTCCCTCCATCTATTTGCTTTCTCTCTCTTTCTTTCCACCTCTTTCATTCTTTCTTTCCACCCCTCTCTCTTTTTCTCCCTCCCTCTCTCTTAGACAAATAAATACCATTAGCAAACCAATAAATATCAATGGAAAAATAAATATCATTATCAATATCGGGTTTTATCCCTTTTGTTTTTTTTATTTTTGGCAGTCTCATTTAATGTTAATAAAAAGCAAATTTGCATACTTTTCAATAAAAAGGTGCGTGGGATATTTGTTCGTGTCTTGCGGCTCTGACACATCTGACGTTTATTCTACGTGGCTCTCACGATAAGTGAGTTTGGCCACCCCTGTCCTAGAGGAAGGGTGGGGAGGAGGAGACTGTCAAACCCTTGGGTTGGCCGCCCCATGCCACTCGTCAAAATAGTTCCTAAGTTGCTACGAGTCCTTGGTATTCAAGGCTTCCCAGATCTCAAACGCTGGGCTGATTCCTTATTTGCTGATGGGCCTTCTCTGCTCTGACTACAAGCCTGGGCCACCAGACTCACTCATCAGTGACATGCTGCCAAGTGGCGGGGAGGAAAAGCAGTTACCTGGAATCAATCCCCCATACACCCTGGCCTCCCTCTGCACCAAGGCTCCCTCTAAGCGGTGGAGTCCTGTGAGCAGAAATTCTGCTTTGTGAGTTCTACGTGGCTCTCACGATAAGTGAGTTTGGCCACCCCTGTCCTAGAGGAAGGGTGGGGAGGAGGAGACTGTCAAACCCTTGGGTTGGCCGCCCCATGCCACTCGTCAAAATAGTTCCTAAGTTGCTACGAGTCCTTGGTATTCAAGGCTTCCCAGATCTCAAACGCTGGGCTGATTCCTTATTTGCTGATGGGGCTTCTCTGCTCTGACTACAAGCCTGGGCCACCAGACTCACTCATCTGTGACATGCTGCCAAGTGGTGGGGAGGATTTTAGAAGATGTGGTAAAGCAGTTATCTGGAATCAATCCCCCATACACCCTGGCCTCCCTCTGCACCAAGGCTCCCTCTAAGCGGTGGAGTCCTGTGAGCAGAAATTCTGCTTTGTGAGCTAC